TGGACGGTTCGTAGACGAGCACCGGCGTTCCCACTTACCACGCAGATCTGAGAGACGCGGGAGACGATGAACTTGTCGATGAAGTCATACTCTCTGCCCACTTCAGTGAAGAAGAAATAAAGTTTCTCTTCATCTGGAATAAATGTGGAACTCACGAAAGTTGGATCTGTGGCAAACAGAAGGTAACATAAGCAGAAATGTAAGTTACTGGAAACAATGTGTGAAAGACATGGTAAAGCTGGAAATCCAAGTAAGTAATTGTGATTCCCACCACATAACAGGTAACAGACAAGACGCTCGTTTTCTTTAGATGTGCCAGCAAACAAATGGATTGACACTGATCTAAGACGCCATAAATGTATCTAATATTATCTTCAACTACTTCAAATATCTGAGGTTGGGGAAGAACTCGCTGCACTCACCCTCCAACCATCCTAATGTGTCATCCAGCTTCAGGTCGACACGCTTGCCCTCGCTGAGGTGCCTTGAGATGACTGGCCGGTTCCCCCTGTAGTCTGCCACGGTGCCAGTATAAAGCTCTCCATCTGAGACACATGACAACATTTAACATACTGACGAGCAACAGCGACACAACGAAAATATATTTGACCATCTTTGTGGCTGTTGGCAGCATGTTTGTGTGCATACACACTGTTGGCAGCATGTTTGTGTGCATACACACTGTTGGCAGCATGTTTGTGTGCATACACACTGTTGGCAGCATGTTTGTGTGCATACACACTGTCTGTAAACACGATGAAAGTTCTCAGTGGACTCAACGTGATTCCACTTTCCACAGTAGAATCATGTCAATAATCCACCGGCTCACGTTCACCAAGCTGATTTATTGGTCGCGCTATAACTTGCATGTGTGGTGTGCGCGATCAACATGCAGAAAGTATTTGATAAAGATTTAAAATGTCATGTCACATTTGACCTCTGACCTCCTCAAGGTCAACAGACTGATCTGCAGGTCAAAGTGATAATGATGATATATGAAGCCATTTAAAGCCATGTTTCTTACTGCCATTGTACTGAGGCATGCACATTCTAAATATCACCTTACTTTGGACCTCCGACCTTCAAGGTAAAAGTTTAGACCAATGATCAAAAATCTACTAATGGAAAGATTCTGATTGGTAATGGCTTCATGTTCAGCAACACAAAGATCCCAAACTGGCTGATAATGCAGTAAAAGCACGCCATCATCGTGGATTAGCCTTCGCTAATCGAAAAAAAAAGGCATTTACAGGTTGTGGTAACATTCAAATAAGAGGTTTGAAATGTCCTTCAAGAACATGGACGACTATTCCTGAGAGCGATTAAAGAAATAACAAGAAAAGTTGTAACAAAGTTCCTACTGTGTTGAACCGAGTTCAGGCTGTGATGAAGGATAAAGGTGGTCACAGCAAACACTGCACAGCTGCAGCCTGAAGGTAATAAGCTCT